ATTATTTCAAGAATGAATATTTCTAAATTTAATTAAATTCACAAAATTTCCTTAAATTTTTTTTCACTTTTACTCTGATATGTATCTTTGATACTTTGATGTATATTTTTTTTTTTTAGGAACAGCAAATGTTGGTGATTGTTCACCCTCAGCATTTGGTGTCACCAATTATCATCGACCACTGAACCGATTTAATCATCGACAACTTCTCTTCCAAATACCAAAACGACCTCGAAGCATTGCTGGACCAGCACATACAGCTGTTTGGCCTTTGCCACCACCATCCTATCATTCACCTCGATCATGCTTCAATCGACCAGCCTTTATGGGAAACATCGTGTAAATTAAATTATCACTTATTTTTGTTTCTTACTCAAAATTACTTCAAGAATGAATATTTCTAAATTTTAATTCATAAAATTTCCTTAAATTTCTTTTCAGATTTATTCTGATATATATCCTTAATATTTTGATATATGCATATTTTTTTAGGAACAGCAAATTTTGATGATTATTCGCCCTTACTTACTGTTTACTTTTTTACTTAAATTCGTTGAAAAGTATGCAATTATTAGAAAATCAAAACCGTAAAATCATTGAACAATAATTTTAATATGATTATACATCATTATCTATGTCATTCTTAAAATTTTACTTCAAGTTTATTTACTGATAAAAGATTAGATAAGAGTATCCGATACATTCTTTGCAGTTTATCAAGAATACAATCGAAAATAATTTTAGAAGTGAGCATGTGCTTCAACGCCAGCCATCCGAAGTGAGTACCTGTGATCATTCTTATGTCAATGTTCTTCCACAACGTCGTTCCGCTACTTCATCACCACAATGTGTATCACCGGTTCTAAGGGAATTTGCTTCCAGCAGTCATTTCACTTTGTAAACTTTTTCCTTCAATGAAGAAAAAAAAATTTTATTTTTTGTATTTTTCGTTTTTTTTTTTTTCTTTCTTCTTCTTTATACGAATAATGATAGTGGAGAAATATTCAATTCATAGATTTGTTTGACTAATTTTTATCCAACTTTCATTTCATTTCTTCTTTTAAGTGGTTCAACAGAACAAAATCTTGGCATGACAGACTTTGGCTCACAAAGATTCAATACACCTGTCACTGGACTGTCACATCGCTATCCACCTTGTGGCTTTATGTGCTCCTATGATAGACCAGCTCTTAATTCTTATGTTAATGCTCGACAGGTAATCTTCTATTTTGTGCAGATACTGTGTCATCTATCTATTTGTCCACTTAATTGCTAATTATTGTACGACAAAATAGAATCTCTCAGAATGATACAGCACCTATACCTGTACATTGCAATCATCTAATTAATCGCCAACTTTTAAGCTTTTTCATCACAGCTAAGAAGATATTTGTTTTTCCCGAATTTATTGATATGTTTCAGAAATATGCGTAGCAGCTATCATTCTATTTTGTTTCTATGAAAAAAATGCCATTTATATATATATGTAATTTTGAATTTGGAAAAGTCTAAAGAATTTTTTTTTTCAAACGATTTTACCAATATTTAAAATCATTTGTCTAAAATATTATTACAACATTTAGTTTGAAATTTCAAGAAAAATAATTTTTGGTATTATAGCATTGTTATTTTTGAGATTATCGTAACGTACAACACAACTGATAACTGATAATTTTAGGATTCAGGAGTGAGTGATCGTGAAACAACGCCACCACAACTTGATTATGCATTAGTAGCAGTAGGAATAACTGAGGAAGGTTCACCCTCAACTCTCAGGTATTAATTTGTATTTCGATCAGCAATCGATTACATTGGTAACTAATCGATAAATTATTATTGATCGATAACATCTATCTATAAGTAAAATAAATCAATAACACATTATCATACTTCTTTTATCATATAAACAATATGACTATTTAGCACTTCCGCATTATCGATTAGTAATATTATAATTTCAGGGCCAATCAATCCAATACACGTAACGATTTAGCATCTGTTGGCTTAACAACCAATGTAAATTACACAAAAATTGATTTAGAAAAGACTCGAGCTATAGAAGTGGCAGCAAGTACGGTGGAAAAAGAAAATCCACGACGACGGCATTTTACAACAAATGGACAATTAGATAATTAATTTATACTCATTACTCGATTGAAATGTGTTAATGATTAACTTACAAATCCTAATTTATATCGATTTTTTCATCATATCATATTTTTGATCAATGATCAATTAATATCTAATGTCGCTATATTTAGAGATCGATGAATCATTATTAATTTAAAATCTGTTTTAATAAAATTATGAGCTCGAAATTCTAATCATAGTTATATAACACTGAATTTTTCAGTAAATTTTATTTTTCCATTTCCTTTCAGCATCATTTTTAGCAATCATTCTTCTTGCACTCAAATAAATTCATAAATAAACTACATTATATTCTTTAATAATGCAGCTGTCCAATAAATTTAAAACGTTACCGTTAAAATGTTTAACTTCTCGTATTTGCAGTTATCCAGAAAAAATGTCATTAAATTTCATTGCTCATACAGAAATTTTATTTTCTTCCCGATCTCTTATATATAATAAATTTTATCATAATGGTGAAATAATTATTAACTATCAAAATTTTAATAATAACAATAAATGAATTTATAATTATGAATGCTCAAATATTATTGCTTTTGCTTTTTTTGTCGTTGTATGAAATTTCGTTTAAATTTAAAAATTTAATTTCTTTGCTATGCGTTCATATGGCAATTTTTTAATGATTAATGCATGTTTTCTGTTATGATAGCAGTGAAAAGAGAGAAGAAAGTTTGATTGCAATGATTGCCCTTCAATTTCTGTTGAACTTCAATTTTTTGCTTTGCTAAAAAAAGAATAAACAACATAAAAAAAAAAGTTTTAAAAAGAGGAAAACTTTACTAATCATAAAATTTAATTAAATTTAGATAAAATTACTTCTTCCTAAATCTCTTCTACTCTTTTCTTATCATTTTACATTGTTTTATCTGTTATATTACCTTTTTTTTTTTTCTATTTAAACTTTCTCGTCTATTGGTATCTCATTACGATAAATTCAAATTTACATTAATTACTTCAAAAGTTTTGTTGAATTTTAATAAATAAAATAAATAAATACTTAAATTACAGAGCGATGCTAAAATCATTCGAATTAAAAATTCAAGATTTTATCACTATATAAGGAATAATAATTCAAATAGATTGCTGCAAATATTTTGACAGCATTTTCATGTAATTATTTCAGTTCATTTTTATTTATTTGATTATAAAAGCAAATTGATAAAATACTGACATTTACCAAATTTAAAAAATCAGATTTAGTTAACATTTAATCCTAAAAATTAGCTAAAAATGACAGCAATATAAGTGACATAACTTTGATTACATTTAAATAAATTATTATTAATTTCCGATTTATTAATCATTATTGCTAATAAATCAGTAAATCTAACTAAGAAGAAAAAAATGATTAATATATGATTGCAACTGATAAATACATAAAAACAATTGAAACATAAGAAAACTTTTTTTTTTCTGTTTTAAAAGAAAAGTAAGCTGATGGTTTAAATTGAAATAAGATTGATTTCTCTGTAGAAGGCTTAATTCAAAGAGTTATACATCAGTTTCTTTTAATTAAAGTTATCAGAAAAAATGACACAGAATTGTGGTTGTGATTTGATTTTGATCACATATTCGTTATCATAGAGACTGATAGTTGGAAATAATTTTAATCTCTCAAATTCAAAATAAATAAATGTTATGTTTTTCCGTTATTTGTTTATCATCCTGTGGAATGTGTGTTACAAATTATAGAGAAAAATAACATTTGCTTCGTTCCTTTGATAATATATTGGTTTGTACTAAAATTCTGGAAGATAAACTTTAGAAAAACAGAAAATTGAGTATATTAATTATAATGATAAAGATTTTCATTTTCGATATTTTTTAAAATGAATACATAATAAGTAATAATACAAAATTATAAAATTCCAAAATAAAATACAAATTTAATAGGACTATAAAATTTTAGTTTTATCGGATTAATAAATAAATTATTATCAACAAATTTTTTAGTAAAAATAAAAATAATTAAAAATAATAATAATAAAAAAAATAAAAACATTAAAATAAAGTTGAATATAATTATTGGCAGCATTTTTCTATATAACAAGGAATATAGTATGAAATTAATAATATTCATTTATTAGCTAATAAATCTTAACTTATTACTACCATACTTTTGATAAATAGTTGAATCAAAAATAATTAAATATAAAAATAACTATGAAAATTTCATATTTACTTAAAATTTTATGAGTAATTAAACATCCCATATAATTAGAAAGGTGAAGAGAAGCTTTTTCTAAGTTAAAAACAAATAATAAACAATCAAATGATACTTCTCTCTTCTCTTCATTTCTTTTCCTTCCTTCTTTTCTCTCTCTCTCTCTCTGTCTTTTACAGAGTGAATTTCTCTCAAAATTTCTCTTTTTTTTTTTTTTAAACTGCAATATAATACATAGTTTATTGATGTAAAATAGTAAATATTATTGTTATTTGTTCACTACTCTTCAAGTTGATAAATGAAATGATTAAAATTATTAGAAATGATAATATTAATGATATGTTGCTATGAAAATAGACAAGGAATGATATCTTTTTGACAGGTAAGAATTACTACTTCTCTTTGTAATTTCATTTTGAAATGTGTATTACATATTTCAGAAAGACTCTCAATATGATTAATTAGACTAAACTATCATTGTAATTCATTAAGATAAATAAGCATTTCATTATTCACAATTCATTCAAAATGACGAAAATATGTAATAAACATTTTGTTTTCGCTTTTAATGAATAAAAATATTTTAATTATAAATTATTTGTTCATAAAATCAAAACGAAAAAAAAAAATGAGAATTTCAAGAATAACTGATATATATATATATAAATTTAAGAAATTTTTGAAATCATCGATGAAACCATTTATGCTTTTTTGTAATTGTTGCTATCCTTTCTGTAAATCCAACAGTTGCACCACAACGGATCAAATGAAGTTGCTCGAGAAATTTTGTTCGATAAGTATGACTTCGCCAAAACAATATGTAGTAATTATTGCCGTAGTTAAAGAGTAGTAAAAGACATAAATAAGATGATATGCCTCCCTGAGAATATTTTAAAAAATTAATATGTTTTGTTTTTAGAAATTGACTGAAAAAAATAGTTTAAAACTTAGTTAAAAATGATAACTGAAAAAAAAGTAAACCGAAATTTTTCCAATTTTTTTTTTTTTAACTGAATAGTTTAGAATTATCAAATTTAGAAAAACAACTTACAGTGGTTTCTGTTGAAACAGGTAGTAAATTGACGACAAACAAAGCAAAAGCTGATAAAAGTGAGGTCAAACAATTAGCAACCATTGTTATAAGCATTGAAGTTGTAAATTGATTTTGACGCTGATAAGCGGCATAGTCACGTTCATCTGCAATTGATAATTACTTTCGAGAACGTCAAAATTCACTGCTAGCATTTGAATTTAGTGAATTCAACATGATTAATTTAATTGAGATTCTGTAGTAAATGTACCAAAAAGGTACAACCAACGGGATATAATTACTGTTATAGTAGTTACGTTTACTTACTTACTTACGTTAAAATGCAAGTGTAATTAAACTTTGCTTACGCAGTTTTAATCAAGGTGTATAAAATTAATGTATTTTTAAACATTTCCACTTTAATAATAAAAGTGAAATGAAGATATATTCATAGAATAATCATTATCTACCACAATTATTCGTATTTTCTTTCTTTTGCGCTAAGAAAATGGTATCATTAATTATTGTCAATCGTTTCCTACTTTTTTTCCATTCTACTTCTGCTGACTTTTATGATAAAGTGATGATACACGTTTGAATCACGTGGAAACAGTCACTTTCAACTTACGTTGAGTCATCAAAGAACAAAAAAAAAAAAAGTTTATATAAAAAAAGAAGTTTAACAAAATTTGACAGAGATAAATGAAAGAAAAAAAAATCTTACTCATTTGCGCTCATTTCTAAAATTAGCTTTTATTAGAATTATTTATTTTTGCTTGTAGTAAATTAATTCAAATATTAATCTATGATCTTAAGTGTGACAGCTTTGACAAATGACAGTTTTGACAAATGAAATATTTTCCAACAATTGTTTGAGAGCGATAGTATCAATCAAATAAAGTATCTCAAAATTGAATAAGAAAAGTATCTGATGTTTCGCTGGGAAATTTAACTATCACAAAATTAAAAGAGCTAAATTTGATTATTTGAGAAAGATGACAGAGAGGTGAAATTGAAAAATTATTATTCAATTTGTTGTTTCTCATCATTTCACTAATCAATTAGAAAAGAAATTATTCTTTTATATAAATTTACAGTTTTATGCTATAGTAGTGACTTACTATTAGAATGTTTAGAGAGATCAAATAAGAAATTGATAAGCTAAAGATAAAAGAATATTGCTAGCTGATTTTGTTATCACAAATATCTTACAGTTATTGCTAGCTGATTTTGTTATCACAAATATCTTACAGTTATTGCTAGCTGATCTTGTTATCACAAATATCTTACAGTTATTGCTAGCTGATTTTGTTATCACAAATATCTTACAGTTATTGCTAGCTGATCTTGTTATCACAAATATCTTACAGTTATTGCTAGCTGATTTTGTTATCACAAATATCTTACAGTTATTGCTAGCTGATCTTGTTATCACAAATATCTTACAGTTATTGCTAGCTGATTTTGTTATCACAAATATCTTACAGTTATTGCTAGCTGATCTTGTTATCACAAATATCTTACAGTTATTGCTAGCTGATTTTGTTATCACAAATATCTTACAGTTATTGCTAGCTGATCTTGTTATCACAAATATCTTACAGTTATTGCTAGCTGATTTTGTTATCACAAATATCTTACAGTTATTGCTAGCTGATTTTGTTATCACAAATATCTTACAGTTATTGCTAGCTGATTTTGTTATCACAAATATCTTACAGTTATTGCTAGCTGATTTTGTTATCACAAATATCTTACAGTTATTGCTAGCTGATCTTGTTATCACAAATATCTTACAGTTATTGCTAGCTGATTTTGTTATCACAAATATCTTACAGTTATTGCTAGCTGATTTTGTTATCACAAATATCTTACAGTTATTGCTAGCTGATCTTGTTATCACAAATATCTTACAGTTATTGCTAGCTGATTTTGTTATCACAAATATCTTACAGTTATTGCTAGCTGATTTTGTTATCACAAATATCTTACAGTTATTGCTAGCTGATTTTGTTATCAAAAATATCTTAGCATTTTATCATTTTTATTTCTTTGTTTCAACAAATATTATCATAATTGATCTTTCTACTTTTATGAATCAGAAACGTACGTATTTCACGTTGCTTTCCAACATTCCGTAATAAGTAATAATCGATAACATTAATGATAAAAACAGCCATAGCTATGCTAACAGAGCCATAATTCCAAATTTCCATTAGTATTGGTGAGTAAGCCATTGTCTGATCGCATGGTTCTACAAGCTGAAAATAATTAATTAAATTTATATCATTGGCATTTACAGTTATTTTTAAAGTTTCTTTTTTCTGTTTTTGTAAATATCATACATTATCATTGGCAAAGAGAAAACCAGCAATAACAAATAGAGTTGAATAAGTAAAGCCAGTGCCAATAGCTAATGCAACAAAAGGTGCACTTCGTGCTGTTCGATATCTAAAATAATACAAAATTGTTTTGAATTTGTCATTGAATATTTTTGTTAGTTAATTTTTAAAATTGAAAAATCTAACAGTTATTGCAGCTGATTTGAAAAAACTTACAGTTATTGCTAGCTGATTTTGTTATCACAACAGTTATTAAAAGCAATAACAATAACAAATTGAACAGTAAGGATAGCATTTTATCATTTTTATCTTTGTTTCAACAAATATTATCATAATTGATTTTCTACTTTTATGAATAACGTACGTATTTCACATTCCGTAATCAAGATTATACTGTGCTTTAGATGACATTACGCCATTGTTGATCACTACAAGCTGAAAATAATTTATTAAAAATCATTGGATTTTTATTTTAAATTTTTTTTTTTTTTTTTTGTAAATATCATACATTATCATTGGCAAAGAGAAAACCACTTATAAAAATACGCTAAGGCAATAAAAGGTGCACTTCGTGCTGTTCGATATCTAAAATAATACTAAATTGTTTTGAATTTGTCATTGAATATTTTTGTTAGTTAATTTTTAAAATTGAAAAATGTAAGAATTTTTTTTTCAGAGATTTGAAAAAAAAAAAACTGTAAAACTATCAATATTTCTGATATTTTTCATTTATACTGTCAACATTTTTGTTAGTTTACGTTAACATTTTCCGAATAGTTAGATAATCAATAATATAATCAAGCGGAATGATACTTTACTTTGTAATTTGTTAAGAATACTTACTTTAAACATAATTTTTTATCAAGATTACCTACTTTAGATGTAATTTTTTATCAAAAATACTTACTTTAGATGTAATTTTTTATCAAAAATACTTACTTTAGATGTAATTTTTTATCAAAAATACTTACTTTAGATGTAATTTTTTATCAAGAATACTTACTTTAGATGTAATTTTTTATCAAAAATACTTACTTTAGATGTAATTTTTTATCAAAAATACTTACTTTAGAGGTGATCGTACCGCAATAAAACGATCGATTGCAAGAAATAATATTGCAACAGATGACATATTGAATGAGTAGCAATATAAGAAGAGTGAGTGATAACAAGTAATTCGTTTCATAATTGCTTTATTAAGAAATATTTCAATTGCTTTCTTCCATTCGTGTATTTCACTTATCTACAAAAAACAAAAAACATTTTGATTAGATAAGGATGAAATTATCATTTATGCAATGATGATAAATGCTTTGATAAGGTTTAATTCATGATAAGACAAATCACTTGAAATAGTCAATCATCTCATCTATGATATAATTCTATAGTGTTTAGATGTGCTTATAAATATAAATTATTTATGTGCTTCATTGAAATATTATAGAATCATATATTTTATCTTTCTACTGTGTCCATTCTGAAAATCAGTTTATAATATTTTGAAAAATAAATTCTCGAGAAAAAAAAATTACAAAGTCGAGAAATGCAATAATTGCCAATAGTATACTATTCCGATTCCGTAATTCTTTAAATTTCCAAGTAGCATAAACCAAATTCAAATTACCAAACATGCCTAGAATTAGCAATGGTACCATAAATACTGCTACCACTGTTAAATTATTCATCTTTTTTTTTCCTGAAAAATGTTACTTATTAAATTTATTTACCCGAATTAATATGATTGTAAATCAACAGATATGCATATCGAATAAATTATGAGAAAAATTTTCAAATTTTCAATTTTAGATTTTTTTTTTCTTCTAATTACATTTTTGTTTGATATCTTTGTGTGCAAAAATTTTTTGCAAAAGATTTTTGCAAACGACTTGAAAAGATGAAAATAAACAATAAAATGGCTGAATATTATTTTGATATAAACTGTATTCAGTCAAAAGAAAACTTTTAATTATGAACATTTTATTTGAAAGTTAAGATATAAGTAAAGATAGTCATATAATGATATCAAGAAAGCTATCAATCATTTTGTTTATCAAATTTATTTCCAAGAAATGTTCCAATACTCCATAAATATATATAATTTATAAGTACTCCATTTCTTTCTCATTCTATTGAGCAATTTTGTCGTTGATTTGATTATTAACCAACTAAATTACCTTATTTTTAATTCATTTTGGATATGTTTTCATGAAAATTTTATTTCAAAGTTAAGATATGAGTAAAGCTAACCATATAATGATATCAAGAAAGCTATAATTTTTTTTTTTTTCAAACTTCACTTCTTTGAGTCTATTAATAACCATAATTTCAAATTTATTTGAAAATTAAATAAAAACTAAAAGAAAGATTTTAAAATTCAGCGATAAATCGAATAATTTTATCAGTGAATCACAGTTGTGTTTTATTTTTTTTTAATTATTTATTTTCTAAATTGCTATAAATATCGCTTAATAAATATCAAAACTAATTCTATTCAGAAAAGAAAATTATTCGAATGAATAAAAACAAGAATTTAAGTTGTTCAATATAAACTTAAAATTATTAAAAAAAAAAATGCAATTATTTATTCAGAGAATAAATCCTTGTTTCTAAAATATTTTTTTTACAGGTTATTTTTGAAAATAAAATATATAGTATAATATGTAACAAAAAATAATTTTTACTGTAACAAAAAATAATTTTGTTATTTTAAAATTTTTCAAGTAAATCTGATTTCAATTAAATCATTATTAGTATTATATATGTTATATTTCAAAGTTACATTTTATAATGATTAATTATCTAATAGTACCAAAAAATTATTAAAAATAAAAGACTAACTGCTTACCGTAGTCAATTAAGAGAGAAAAGGAAAAGGAGGGGAAAAAGAAGAGAAAAATTCTCTGTCAAATGACTAATGATGAAAGGACAAAGGTGTGTAATTCGTTAAATGTGAAATGTTGTTTTCTTCATCAAAAAACCGATGAATACACTTTTATTTATATTATTTCTTTATTATTATTCTTGTCCAACCCATTCTAATTAAACGATAAATTCAACTTTATAGTTAATATAATGATATCATCGAAGATTATGCAGAATGTGACAGAGGATGACATTAATTAAGAGCAATAATTAATTAATCAATAAGCATAAAATTAAAATGTTTTGTCATTAAGAAATGCAGAAGAATCGATTTGTGTTTTTGTTACTTTATTTGTTATGTTATGCTATTAATCTTAGATATAAATCTAGAAGAAACAGTAGTTTCGTTGTTTTTAATTAATTTTGTGTAATTTAACTTTTAATATAATTTTACTTCCATTAAATTGTAAAACAATAATAATAAAGCAGTAAAATATTTGAATACAAATAACTGAATTGAAAATGAAAGTAATGAAGAACAGAGCAATTAATTTTACTTTTAAAATATAATAACGAGGAGAATTTAAAAAATGAGTGCAGTGTTTTTTAAAGGTAATAGAAAAATTTGTCAAAAATAACAAAATTATTTTGCTTTTTAAATTCAAGAAATGTTCCAATATTCCATTAATATAGAATGTGTAAATATTTAATTTTCTTCTGATTATATCAAATAATTTCGTGATTGAATTGATTATCAATCAGTTAAATTACTTTGTTTTTAATTCAACTTGGATATATTTTTAATGCACATCTCATATTTGCCATATTTAAAAGTATTTCAAAGCTTGGATATGGTTAGCAACACAGCTTTATTAAGAAAGCTATTTTTGCTTTTCTAATTTTATTAATAATCATAATTTCAAATTTATTACTTACTTCGGCTCAGTAAATTATGGGAAAAAAATAAATTAAATTAATTTTTAATTAATAAATTATGTGAAAAAAAAAACTAAACGTAAAGTTTTAAAATGAGTAATGAAAACTTGAAATTATTAAATTAGTACCTCTTGTAGTTATAAATTGAAGAGATATTCGTCATTACTTTTTCAAAAGCTAAGAAAAGCAGAATTAAGACATTTTCCCATTAAGAAAAAGAAAACAAATGAACAAATAAATGTGATAACAGTTAACGCTGTGATCATTTTTCTATTTTTCATTTCATTAAAATGATGCAAAAAGTAGCAATTTTAGGTCTCAAAGATTAACAATGATAATTGTACTCAGATTTGTTTTCATTAAAAAGAAAGCACAATCTGAGTTTCGATAAATTCTATAAGTGCATCACTTTCGATGATAAATTTGATGTCATCGAAATGTTAAATGAAGTTGAAATTGTAACTCGTTTGAAAAAAGTCTGTAATTTTAACACTTCGTTTAATCACTTGAATCTTATTCTGATTCACAGTAATTAAAATTAAAAAAATTGCCATATGTAATTGATGATGACAGTGATAATAATAATAATAATAATAATAATAATAATAATAATAATAATAATAATAATAATAATAATAATGCAATGATAATGATCATAATAATAGTGATAATAATAATAGTAATAATGCAATTATAATGATCATAATAATAGTGATAATAATAATAGTAATAATGCAATTATAATGATTATAATAATAATAATCAATTGCTATACCTGGTTTATAAATAATTTAGGTAAGATAGAGTGGAAGTAACATTAATAAATAATTAAATGATTTTTGTTTTTCGTTCTTTAAGTTGAAGTTGAAGAAAAATTCTGATTTAAAAACTTATCAAAAAATGCCATCAATGTAGCAAGAATAATAAATTCAAAGTTTTTTTTTTTTTTAAGAAAAATTTAAAACAGTATTGTTATTTAATTAAGGCACCTTGATCATGATTTTTTTGCCCTTCTCTTTTACTTATGTTTTTTTTCATATTATAATTAAACTGCAGTTATAATATTTTTGTATTATAATTAAACTGTACTATCCATAGGAACAGATTGCATTAATTATGATAATATTTTTTAACCTATAAGCATGTTTTGGTAATATTTTCACATCTTCTACATGTATTCAAATTTTAGAATCAATGCTCTGACTTATATTTTCATCTCAACGAATTAGTAATATTCATATTATGATTAAATTGCACTATAAACTACACTTGTAAGTAATATCAAATATCATCTTGGAAGAAATGAATGAGTTTATAGAAAAGATAGTTCATTGATAATCAAATCCACAAATAAGTTAACATCCAATAAACATGAATTAATCCATATGATTGGAATAACGTAATTTCAATTTTATTTAAAAAAAATGCTTTCTATGATTCTTAAAAGCGCATATCTACTATAGCAATTTTGAACTTTTTCATTTTTCTTATATATGAACAAATCAAATATACGTTTTTTCTTTTTTTTTTTGTAAAGCTTATTGTATTCTTAGATATTTCAATAATATCTGATGTTTTCGTGATGTGAATTAATAACACTTTTAAGTATTTTATAAATGATCCATTTGAAAGCTATAGCCACCTTCATAAAATGAAAAGAAACTAATCATCACATGTGTTATTAAACAATAAGCGCTAGAAAGCAAATGTAATCAGTAAAGTGTAAAGATTTCTGTAATGAGAATAACAATGAAATTTATAAAATATGAATTAGTCTGAAGAAGCTCAAATAGCAGAACAAATAAATTGTTTGCTGTATTGATATTAAAGTTAGATAAAAAAAAGAGAAATAAAGGAAAAAGAGGAAATTATTGTATACTTATAATGGATTTAAATTATTCTATAATATTTGAAGGGACGTTTAAAATAATACTCATAGTCTTTCTCTCAAAGTAACTTAGAGTAAAGTAAAGGTTATAGGTCATGTTTATTAAAAATATTCCCTCGAAAAGTTGTCCCCACCTTCCTACCTTCCTTTCTTTATGCTCTCTCATTCCCGTCCTCATTTTTTTCTAAATTATAACCTGATTTTCGTCTTGAGACAAAAAGGTTCATAGTGTCTCAATGGTAATTACCAAGGACCATGTTTGTATTATTGGATTGTCCTCTGTTATTGATTACTTTGTACTTTCTGATTATCTTGGATTAACTTACATTTGTGGTCATACGATGATAGATTGGATTAGGCGATTAGGCACTTTTCTCTGCTTGGAATTTTGCAGTGACACACAAACAAAATAATGTTTTAGTTATAAGTTTAAACCTAATATTGAAATAATTCGAATTGTTTCAGTAGTTAATTAAATAGGTAAATCGCTACGGATCATA